TTTCTGTGATCGGATAGCTATCCGATCGTGAAAAGACCAGGTGTAAATGCCCTCCGAAACGCATACGAGACGGATTTGAATCCGATCGCTCAAACCACTTCAGGAGGTGGTCTGGGCCGCATTCCAGACGAAACTGGACAAGTGTAAATGCATCTGGTTGTTGAAACCACATATGTAAATTTTACTCCTCCCAAAAATGCTAAAAAATAAACGTGTGAGAGCGTGTTATATAGGCTATGTGTCATGTTATAGTCAGATATGACGACGCTACTGCAACACGCGTTACCGCAGATGACCATTTTTGACAGTATTGTTATGATGATACAGCGTGGATAACGTGCACAATTGTGTTACGATTCAAAAACGTTATTGTTCATCAGACGAAACAAAAGCATTTCATTTTCACATGTGTGTAAGCCAAGGTGGCGAGAAAGGCAAGATTGCATATAAAAAAATTAATGAATGGGAATAGGAGCAGGCTTCACTCAATGATTAAACTTAAACTTTAAGAATGCTGGCCTGATGATTAGAATAACGTTAAACAGGAAAGAGGCCACACTATGCATAAATTGTTGTAAACAATTTATGCATAGTGCGGCCTCTTTCCTGTTTATATATATAAAATTTTTTTAAAATATACATAAAAAAACAATATTCTAATAGTAACTTCAGCATTCGAATAGTATTGATTTTTTAAATATTCGAATTATATTCGAATTTCGGAATTCGTTCCAACAGCCCGTCGGCACATTAGCATGCCTTGTTTGTATAGGGGTTGAGGAAAGTGGACTAATTTGATCAGCCCCGCCTGTCTGATGTGCTTGGATGAACCTCAACCTCAGTACACCCCTCCCTCTTCCCATGTTCATCTGACCATTAAAACTCTCCATATCAGTATCTGACATTCAAATTAAAATACCACTTCTGATTTTTTTTTTTTTTTTTTCAGTAAATATGTAAAAAAAATATATATATATATTATTAACTTTAATTATCAAAATATTTCAGTCCCTTTAACACTTCGGAAGTTTCCTGTAATCGGAGATCTTTCAATTCACATCTCATATGCAAATGGCGAACCTCTCATCTACTCAGTCACGTTGCAGCGGCGCGCTCATTCGCCTATCACCCCGGCAACTCCTTCACTCGCGTGCAACGACCTGGTCCCACGAAGAGTGATGCAACGATCACGGCACCAGTTGTAGCGGTGTGTTATCTGCGTTGTGTCTACTAAGAATCACTCTTGAATGCTGAATCTCGTCCCTTCAATCCTCTTTTATTTCATCTGGAGTAACAAACAGATTATGAGGACTCGTGCATGATCTGAATGATCTGTTTTTATGTTAGCGTGAAAAAAATAGTGACACTTGTTGTCTTCGGGGTCCCTGGAGACCCTGCATAGTAAATATACAAAATTCATCATAAAAATCAGAAACAACGCAGAAGAACACATAGACAGAAATAAAGTGGCACACTTCCAACAATGCAAAAAAACATCCACAATGCGCGCACACACACACACACACACACACACTCTCACAGGAATACATGTAAGGCTATACTATGCACACTGCCTGCAGTGCACTGACGCATAAACACCTGCAGTGCACTGTAAACGAGACTGTATGAGATGAGACCACCAATTATTGTTCCTAGTTGTTTGATTTTTTCCCCCCCATTTCACTGTTTTTTTTAACTATTTTTTTTTTTACTGCTCTATTTGATCATTTGTTATTGCTGTTCAGTTCATTGCATTTTGATGTTCATGTCATGTATTTTTAGTTTACTTACTATGTAATATAACTGTTCATTTCTGTTCTGTTACAGTTAGTAACTGACATGTTGATTAAAATTGTAGAATTATATTAAAAACAGATGATTGAAATAAATGATCAAATCTAAAGACTCCAACAATTCTCTTTGTAACATCTTGTTCAGGTTTGATTCTAATCATAATGTAACATTATTGAAAAACTTTTGTACAAAAAAGGCTAAACTTTGACAAAAAGTTTTTTTTTTTTTTGTTATAATTGTGATATTATAATATTTAGATATGAATCCAACTGGAAAAACTTATGAAAAGATATATTTTGATTAGTCAAATAGCATATAGTGGAGCTCTATAGCCATCTAGTGGTTAAAGTGATTTTTTTTTTTTTTTTTAACTGCATTTTCCAAGAAATGGCCAAAAATCTTACATTAAACCATGTAAAATTATACATGTTATCTCCATGAATGAAAGTTAGAAATCTGGGTCTTTTATAAAGTTAATTTTACATAAAATGCTGTTTTTTTGTAAAAAGCCTATTTAAAGGTATAGCGGAGGATTTTCTTTTTCCGGGTGGGTAGCCTATATACTATTGGTCCACCTAAGTGTCAATCATTCTGGTGATATGTTTATGTAAGGCCGTCGTACGTGCTCGTCCCTACGTAGTGATTTGCTTTCTGCGCATGCGCACTTTCAGGTGTATTATGTGTGATGAGTTACGGTTTCAGCCATTCCTTTGAAAATGGCTGAGGGTCGAAAGAGAAAAAATGTATACGAAGTGTATGATAAGAAGAGAAAGGCCGCAGAATATAGAAACAAGACCAGAATGATTTTGGGTGAATATTTCACACGCTGGCGTGCGCTAAAAGCACAGGTTGGGCTTCCCACTGATGCTGCAGTCGCAAAGATTCTACTAGACAGGTAAAGTCTGTCATGCTATTTGGAGAAATCCATTTAAAATCACTGCTAGTAAAAGTTTAATAGGCGTTCCCTCTCGGGAGCAAATAGAGTGTTGCGCATGTGCATTTTTAAAAAAAATTGGAGAGGGCGGGTCTTCTCTAAAATTCAGAAAGATCCTCCGCTATACCTTTAAATAAATATTTATTTATAGAAATTTAAAAGATATCATAAATCCTCCAAAAACTGCACAAATGTTGAGTAAAAACATTAATAAACAGAGTAAAATTACATTTGTAAAAAAAAAAAAACCTATTATTCCGTTACAAAATTAAATGTAACTAGTGTATAGTGTATAGATAACTAGTGTAGACACAAATGAAGATAATCAGAGGGTTAATGCACACCTGCTACATCAGCAACTGAGGAAAACTGTAATACAACTAAATTTAAATTATTTTAATACTTATTAGGGCCCCGGCCACCATTGTTGAGAACTACTGTTGTAGACACTGAATTGGAGAACAAGTTACTTCTTTTTAAAGAGTAACAATACATAGTGATGTAGGACAATTATAGTGAACATGGCCAATAAAATAACTACATATCTGAAGCCACAAATCAACATTATAATTAAATGCTTTATAATAGAAACGAACAGGTGTACTTGAGCAAATGGGGAACTCTATAGCAGCTTTGAAGCTTCATGGGTACTGAATTAAAAATAAATATCCGACATAAGAGCTGATGGTTTCAAGTACGACCTTGGTCATGTGCCCGGTCTCAGACCTTCCTGTCTCTTACACTTATATAAATGAAAGACTAAGGCCCCCCATTATAAAATTGTAATTAATTGATTTAGCTTATTAAAGTGCCCCCGCCCCTTTATCAAGTTTTTTTTTTTTTTTGCCTCATCATATGGATAATTTACATCAGAATCAGTTCCTTTCACAGTTGAAAGCATTTCCTATCATCAACTGAAGAACATTTTAATAGAGAGATTCAAACTAAATGGAAGCATAGACAATTTCCAAATGGATACACAAGACTAATCCAAGGTTGCTGCAGCTGCTTTTTCTTCTTCTAATAAACTGAGAATACAAAATTTAAAAGAAATGGCTTTGTAAAACTCACAAAATGCACCAAAAAAAAATTTTCACATCTTTTTACATACATATAACCCAATAATGCAACAATAACATAATTCAGATTTCAAAATAAAAGCTTTTATTATAAAACTATAAGAATTAGGAAAGTTGCTACAGATTTCACCTTCTCATTTAGAAATGGCACATCTGAGAACCGAATGGTTTGACCATGAACATCAGCATTGAACTTTTTCAATAGTCTTGTCCAAAGACCTCCGTTTCAACATGGTAGTATACAACATACTTGTATCAGGTTTGTAATGATGCATATTAGCACACACTAATACACATACAGCTTTAGACAGAGAAAAATAAAATGATATTACATATATCTGACCAATTAAGCCTTTTATGCCAAGTCACAACAGCCAAATTCATTTTTTATTCCATCAGAGAAGACTCCCATGTGAAATTTTTATTGTGGTATGAAAGTTAAACAGCACATCCACGACAGTCAGGTAATGCCCTCAAAGAGCCACCATATAAAACCCCTGCAAAACAGAGACAGACAGATCCATGGGACTGATTTGCCTAGCTCAGCAGCCAATAATAATTACGTAAAATTATTTCACTGTTGGCAGGGAAATGTCAGTGAGAGCACCAATTTGTAGTCACTGCATCAAAGTCTTGCAAGAATTTCCCTTAATCGAACGCAGCGCACGGAGAGGATGGAAAAAAATGTGAAAACACACAGCTTCAGCTTGAACCAAATAGCACATTGGCAAACTCAACATGTGAAAAATAAGCACTAGTGCTCATGCGCTCATGTACCATACAAGCTGAAAACAGCGAAGATGACAAAAAAATAATAATATGAAATGTCAGGAGCTGAACAAATATGAATAAAACAGCAATCATTTACACAGCAACAGACAACTTATTATGGCTATGACCTATGAAGATCATCAGCAGGTTCCATTTTTGCACCAACAGAATATGGATGAAAAGAAAATCATAATACTGAGTTACTTTTGAACATTATTTCCTAATGATAACTGAATGACCTTTATGCTATAACCACACTCGAGCGAGGATCATGGCTACTTAAAACAAACACACACAAAAACATGCTAGTTCACCTGCAGTGATGTTGGGTGGACATTCTCACATTCAAAGCGCACGCGCACACACACCTGTATCAAGCATTACAATAAATCCATCTAACGTGCCACATCAACAATATCTCTAACAGCTGAGATCATACCTGGTGACCTTTAAATTGCATCTCAAATGCCATTTCAAGCTGCAATGGTCACGTTTGAAATAGTAACAGCACCCTCTCCTGTAAAGAATGTTTGAGGTAATGTGAAATATGATATGATATGCTCAGGTGTTTTCATGATATGTAGTGGTGATGGTGGGTAGGTACCAATGGCACTTAAAACACTCGATACCCAAAAAGTTTAACCAAAAACAAACAGTTGACCAATGACAACAATTGACCCAAAAAGGTCCCCATCTGAAAAGTAACATTTTGACCATTCAAATAATTTCTTTCCAGTACATTTAAAGAAAAACATACATGATTAGCTTAATTAACCCATCCAAAGAACTTCTTTTCCACTGCCAGACTGCTAAAAATACAAAGTCCCTCCTCACAAACACATACCAGCACTGCAGTGTTTAAGTTGAAATACTTTGAATATCTTCTGCTATACACCCAGTAAAAAACTCCAGTTGCTCCTGATACATTACTGATCGACAAGTCTGTCAAACCAGATTCACATAACCATTAAATCCCAGCTGAGGTAGGTGTCCAAAGAGTTCAGCTGCAAAATGTAAATTCTGAGATTTGAGAGATTTAAAATAAAACATAAGCAGCCAATAGGACGAGTCTGCGATGCCACCGAAGGAGGTGGAAATCATAGTCAATAAGGACATGGAGAATCAGAGGCTATCTGAGCCCAGCCCTGGAGGTCATCCACTCTAAACCCTGACACAGCCTGAAAAACACACACACACACAAAAAAGTGTTAAATAGGGATGCACTAATAAGAAAATCCTGCCCAGTACAATAAACGGATAATTTTCATATTAAGAATAAATAAAAATGTTACACTATTGCCTATAAAATTCAAAACTAAAACAATTAACAAAAATTAATAGTTAAAAATGTTACAAGTAGACATGTGCTGGTATACGGTAGTACAATATATCACGACAATGAACATGCACAATATTGTTATCGTGGGGCCGTGGGCACTTCAAAATACAGTGAATAATTATTTATTACAAATTTCATTCTAATCTAAATGTCAAAATACAGAAAATGAGCATGAACAATTTTCATTGAGACTGCAAATGTGAAAATGTGTATTATTATTCAATAAAATGTAATACTGATACATCTGGAGAGATATGATATTTTTAGAGATTTAGGACATGATTAATTTAATCTGCTAGCAGAAGTGTATGGCAAAGCAAGGAACAAAGAGCGTTAATAAGCGCAAACCCTGCCCTGTAGCCGATCACAGGTGACTGCATGATTGAGTTGACCAATGAAATCAGCTGTGAGGCAGGGTTTGGAAAAAAAATGATTAGGCTGCTGATATGATCTCCATGAAGTGTGCATCCTTTTGAAGATTTTTCTTTATGGGTAAAACATTATTTAAATTTGAACTTGCTGTGTTTTATTGTATTATTACATTTTGAAATCATTAATCCCTTACGGCAAGCAATAACTGCAGGCTAGAATAGTTCATGTTCAGAGGTACTTACCCTTCTCCAGTGAGCGCACAGCAGGACTGGATGTGCCAGGGATGATCCTTGATGGAGCTGAGGGTCAGATATTTGGAAATCTCTGCTGCAGACATACAGCCCTTCATGTCTTGCTTATTAGCAAAGATCAACACTGCAGCTTTGCGGAGATCCTAAGTGAATGAACAGAATCAACATTTTGCGAGAGTGAATCTTTATATTCATCCTCCAGAGTTTTATGTGTGTGGTGTAAATGTTAAAGCATTACCTCGTGTGCTAGCATTCTGTAGAGCTCTTCTTTAGAAATGGCTAGTCTCTCTCTGTCAGTACTGTCCACAACCAGTATGATGAACTACCAAAGAAAACACACACACACACACACACCATTATCATCAGATGTCAGGTAGCATACTGTTGCACTTCAGCATTCAGAGGTGGTTTCTAAGTTTAGCAAGGTCACAGAGTTGTTTGTTGCTCAGAGTACATGCCCTTGGCAGAAATGGTGTATCTATGGTCTGTAAGAGCGAGTGCTCCTGAATAAAGCTTGACAGCAGGGCCCCACCACAAATCTCATTCGCACACTTTCTGAATGAAAGGCAGGGGTCTCGCTATTCAAACCTCTTTGTGTAACCCTGAACTTTGAACTCTGAATCAGACACCAGCTGCTAAGATCTGGCGGAATTACCGCTGCGCACAACTGCTGTTCAAACTATTGTTCACAGCAGACCGGACCCACAGCTGTTCATCTCACCACATTATCTTTAAAGATGCTATTAGTTTGTGCATGTGCTGCTAGATACTGGTACTAAAAATACCCATTTAAAGACGTATCTGTATGAGCACATTCTAGTCAAAAGTTGGTTTTTGAAAGGTGGGAACACTTAAAGGGATAGTTTACCCAAAAATGAAAATTGTGTCATCATTTACTCACCCTCAAGTTGTGTGAATTTCTTTCTTCTCCTGAACACAAAATAATATATTTTGCTGAATGTCAGTAAATATTTGATTGGCCCCATTGACTTCCACTGTATTTTTTTTTTTTCTCCATACAATGGAAGTCAATGGGGTCCATCAACTGTTTGATTAATGATTACCCATATCCTTCGAAATATCATCTTTTGTGTTCAGCAGAAGAAAGAAATTCATACAGGTTTGGAACAAATTGAGGGCGAGTAAATTATGACACAATCTTCATTTTTGGGTGGAGTATCCTTTTAACTGAAAGGTTCTATATGTTAAGACTGCATAAAATAACACTGGACAATACATTTAATGCATCTTTTAAACTTGAATTGTTACATATTACCAATACCTTTCTGACATTTCAGGTTGTATAAATTAACATAAGCAAATGTATTATAAACAAACCAGGGTTTCCGTTGTCCGGTAATTACCGGACATTGGCCGGGAAAAAATTGAAATGTCCGACAAAATTAAATCTCTCCGGTCAAATTGTCCGATTAAAATTGCGTAATAATCCCGCCCCCCTAACACAATATGAATTTGAGAATAATTCTAAAATGTATAAAGCAAAAATACACCGACCTTTGGCTATGTTATAAAGGAACAGGCTCTAGGGTTTGAAAGTTATAAAACAACATCGCATGCTGCATTTCAAATAAAGCGCACGCCTAGAACGGCTGTAATATAGACCTAAACAACGAATCATTGAGTGAGACGTTTCAGATATGGCCAGGCCCATTGATATTATTGATAAAGTTGATAATTTGATAAAGTTGACGATGCAGACTCGCCATCTTCGCAGTAGTGAACGCGCCAATAGAGAGAAGTGTGCACGCGCCGGCGCCTCCGGGTCCTGATTAGCCTATATTGTCCACTATTGCTTCTTATTTATTAATCCAGGCAAATTTGTTGATGAAACATTGATTAAAATTAATATACAATTTATACAAAACGAAATTTCAAGCAAAAATAATATTCGAAGATCACTGGGTTGATTATTATTCGAAAATCGCAGCCCTCCACCACATGCACGCACACATGCATTAGACTACACACCAGAGCATGAGCAAAGCGGAGCGGTGTGACGCTTATTATAAGTTAAAAAACTTAAATATACGTTTCATATTTATAAATAATATAATGTTATTATTTTTTTTTTCATCTATGTTGATTAGGCTATATGAAAAGGGAACCGCATGAGATGAGTAAGATAGGATCATAAGATGACCAATAGGCCTATATATCGGAAAATATTTGGAATTGGTCAGACATGATTTTGACCACTTATTTAGTTTTGTTTTGTAGAAAGCCTTTCTTTAAAGTTTATTTCGTTTTGTATAAATTGTATCTTCATTTTAATCAATGTTTCATCAACAAATTTGCCTGGATTAATAAATAAGAATTTATTCATATGAAGTGAGCATTTCTCTCTCTCTAGGCGCGTTCACTACTGCGAAGATGGCGAGTCTGCATCGTCAACTTTATCAATTTATCAACAATTTAAATGTTTCATGCATAATCATTACTTTCGCCGGTTATTTGTGGCAAGCTTTATTTCAGGTGTTGCGTGATATCTCTGCGCCCAATAGCAGTGCTTCGCCTGTGTAGAGTCTCCGCAACGGCGATAGATTGAAACGCGCGTCCGAGTGAAGATTGCGCAAGAAGCTTGATTTAAAAAACAACTGATTTTAGTGCTAGATCTCTTATTTAATAGCGAACTAAATGAATGATCTGCTAGTTAACTGGATATGTTTTATTTATTTGTATTAGGTACATCTGTGCCTCAATGTTTCAAAAAGTGAATGTGTGTGAAACCATAGTAAAAAACAATTGGTGTTAATTGACGCCAATCTGACGTTCATGTTTTTTCCGTCTATTTGAAAGTTAGGCTAATAATAACATGTTGCATTCTATACGGCCTGATTATGTCATTTTTTAAGTTACATAGCCTGCCTCCAGTTTTCCTCAACTTGACTAATTAAGAGGCGATATTTGACTGGCATTTCATCAAAATGTCCGTTAAACGAAACCTCTGCCGGTCACTTTGACCGGCACCATTTTTTTCTAGCGGAAACTCTGAAACAAACATGAATTAAAGTTATATTTATAAATGAACATTTACCTAGATTAATAAATGTAAAATTAGTTCATTGTTAGTTCATAAAATGTTTCCGAAGTCTTTTCCAATAGACTAAGTTTGTCCACTGAAATAGGGAGTTGCAGGACCTGATATTGTTAAAGCACATACATTCTTACAGATTTTTTTTAATAAAAGAAATTAATAATTTATTCTGCAAGAACGCATTCAATTCAAATGCCTGTACGGTAAATACATTTATAATGTTGCAAAATACTTCCATTTCAAGTCTTTTGAAACTTTCTTTTCATCAAAGAATCCTGAAAAAGAATGATCACCGTTACCACAAAAATATTCAGCAGCACAACACTGTTAATAATAAGCAATGTTTCTTGAGCAGCAAATCAGCATATTAGAATGATTTCTGAAGGATCATTCATGTGACACTGAAGACTGGTGTAATTATGCTTTTCCATCATCACAGGAATAGATTACTTTTAAAAATATATATATATTACAACACTTTAACAATATTGTATTTACACTTCAAATAAATGCAGCCCCCTAAGTATAAGAGACTTCTTTAAGAAGAGATGCGGATTCAATTCACGCGTCATGTTCCCAAGCCATTACATCTTTCTCTGCCAATGATTTCCTGTCTACTCAATGAGGTCTCTGTGAATACAAAAACCGGCCTAAAACAGGACGCAGGAAATTCATCCTCGGTCTGCTTATCATAGACCTACACATTTGTTTTCTCTCTTCCAACTTGTGAAGTCCCATTTACAATTCAACAACACGGAACTGACTTCAGCTGAACAACAGCCAAAATGTATTATTTTCCTGTTTTCACCGTAAAGCTACTTTGAAACAATCTGTATGATATAAAATGCTATATAAATAAAGGTGACTTGACAGCAGCACCAATCAGAAACAGCCAGTAAAATCACTCATGGGACCTATACACTTCAATTTCATCTACCAAGCATTAAAAAAAAATCAATTATGTAATCTAATCCCCTCTTGTGTGAAGTTTTCAATTCTGTTAGTTAGATCATCCCCTATCAAAGGGGTTCAGCCTCCAGCAGTGAAGTGTATAAGTGCATTACCTCAGTGTTGGAGTAGTATGTGTTCCAAGAGGAACGGAGACTCTCCTGACCACCGATATCCCACATCAGGAAGTGGGTTTTCTTCACCACTATTTCTTCCACATTGCTGCCAATCGTAGGAGACGTGTGCACCACCTCATTCATTAAACTGCACAACAAAACAGGTTCAGATAAAACAAACCGCAGAGCAGTTTGTATACTTCACATTAATTACCACATTGGAAACTTTACCTATCTTTCCATACAGTATCTCAATCTATTGTTTTACTGTATACTGCACATTGTATGATGAATAAATTGCCATGTTTAGTGTGTATTGAATGTCCATTCTCACCGTAACAATTTTGGCTGGCCCAGGCGTGTGGCAATAAATACTCTATTCTATTATTCAATGAATTAGAGACTACTAATATAAATAAACAGCAATAAAGATCCTAATCAAGTAAATAAAATATATATTACTCACAATTGATAAAGTATAGTGGTCTTTCCAGCATTGTCCAGCCCCACAATAATCACCTTGTGTTCTGCATAAGAGAAGAAAATATATTACGGATTAAAAGAATGGTCAAATTAATATTACAAGAACGTTATTTCAAATTCAAATTAAACAAATTAATATCAATAAATAATATTAAAGTGGGTTCATTGCGTTAACTGTGCTCTTTCCTTCAGAGCTAGTTTGTTTCTGTTGTTCTCTCAGTTCTAACTCCCAGATAATTGGTCCAGCAATCCCATACAAACACACAACTCAGCCACATGGGAAGCACAATTGCATAACAGAGGAAGACGTGATTAGATAAACCAGTGATCCATCCTTTATCAAAGCTCAATGTGAGGAAATTCTGACAGCCTCTGTGTCTGTGTGTGTATCTGAGAGAGAGGGCACATTTTGATATTTTTCACCTTTACACTCTGATGTGAACTACAGGAAGCAGGACTGGATAACTCATGATATCTTTGGCAGCTCCACAAAGACTATTTCACGCCTATTACTTCCTCCAGAAGCACCGACCCCTATTTTACTTCTGTATGCCTCCAGCAAAAATTTCATAGGGGCAAACTAAAGCCATGAAGAGACTGTTTACAGTTACACTTCCCACAGGTTTTGGTGGAACTTTTCATAACAAACTCAAGGACAAATTTAGCCTGATTCTAATGTAAGACTACTAGTGCTACTACTCTATGATTTAGCCGAAGGATAAAACCTTTGAACATTAAAGTGAGCGGTTAATCATTTACAAGACCAATAGGTCCTAATTTATTTAAAGGGGTCCTATTTTGCCCTTTTATGAAGTCTTGATTTTGTTTTTGGAGTGTACTAGAATATGCTTCCATGCTTGTTCAAAAACACATTTTGCACATATTTTACATATTACAGCTTCTTTCTCCCCAGTCTGTCCCGAACGCGTTGTTTAGTTCTGGTTTCGATTAAGTCCCTCCTTCCGAAATACAAAATGTGCTGTGATTGGTTAGCTGGCCCAGTGTGTTGTGATTGGCAGCACTTAGCACGTGTTCCGGAAATGTCCCACCTCTCCATAACCACGAGTTCTGCTCTAGTTTAAACAAAGGATGGCATCAATTTCAAACCTGATTCAGACCCTGACAATGTTAACAAACAAGAGGAGCATCCAGGATGGATTTCATGCACGGACTTTGCAAGCACAGATTTCACAGGACGTTTATTAACGATGTTATCCACCATTTAATCATGATATTCGTCGGAAAACTATGGTAATCGATCACAAAAACAAGGATAATTTTCCTAAGGGGCGGTGAACAGTTTCACAAAAGCGAGAGCGTACAAAAGATATAGTAAACACTATATCAACACTAATGTTGGCTAGCGGGTGAGCATAGCCAGGGGCGTAGCACCAAATGTTGGGCCCTGGTCACAGAACCAAGGGATGGGCCCCTTACAACACCCAACACAGCTTTATTTTCACTATTATTCAAAACTTTTTTTTTATTTCCACAAGGTTAAATTCAGTGTAGGCCTACTAATTGTAATAACATAGCAAAAATTTAAAAACAGACTAATTTGAAGTATTTTATTTATTATAAAATAAAAAATAAATTAAATAAGTGATTTATTAACATTAATAATATAACCCCTCTTTAGAACTTTCTTGAGAATGTATGTTGAATGTCTTTATTTCTTGACACTTTTTTTTTTGTTGCTATTACCCTTCACCTGATCTTTTAACTACCAGTTGATGGATGATTGTATGTGCTGCCATGAGACACCTGTACTGATATTGTAAAACTATAAAAACAATTCTTTAAAAAAAAACATTAATAACATTAATAATATAAATAATAGCTACATTAAAATGTAGCTTTCAAATATTTTTCAATTTTGCTCGGATGGGAATTCTGATTTGTCACTACACTCATACGCTCAACAGACTTCTCTGTGATTGGCTACAGTTCTCAGCGCTGCAAACAGGAACGCTTGTAAACGTGGACCGTTTGAATACAGCCGTCTATCTGCGTGTATCTAATTAAGTCTCAGTAAAACCGCGCAGAAACACTGGTATCATCACATTTGCACAATTTAATTATTTATTTTGTATAAGGTACAGGTAGGCTACTTTTGACAAGACTACTTCACTGAGGTAAAAGGATAAGTAATAAGTTACACAGTTTTCTCTCGCAAGCCTCACCATTCTTCCTCCCCCCAAAAAATCTAGTCAGAAGTTGTCTACCCTCCTGCAGCTTTCTTTCCACTCTTTTCTTTTTTGATAACCTGATTTAGGCTTAATTTTTTGTAGTGCAAGGCTCCTTTCCATGCCACAAGCTGAATTTAACCGCTGGACTACAAGACCAAACCAGTTCTGCTTTTGACAGGGGGATCGCTAACATTGGAGGGCACAAGCTACTGGGCAAATAAAGAACATTTCTCAGTTTTACGGATGGAAAATTGAGTCTTGTGAATTTTTATTCCTACCGATAGCATTTTATCATAACTATGTGATTTTGTCATTTTAATATTATGGAGTATCAATATATCTTTGTGGCCCCCAATATATCCAATTGGCACTAATGGCTCGTTTCCACTGAGCGGTACGGTACGGTACAGTTCGGTACGCAATTATTTGCGTTTCCACGGTCAAAAGTTGTGAATGGTACCAAAAAGCCGAACCGTACCTAGCACAGTGGTACGGTACTAAAAGGTGGAGCTAGACTCACTCCAGAACATTGATTGGTTGACAGTATCGTCACTTGCGCGTGCTACAAGGGCATTAGAAGCGCCATTTTTTAATATACAGTTGAAATATAATACTACTGTTATCGTGTCACAAAATGTAGTTTTAAGAGTTTTTCAGGCGAGAATGTAGTTTTTTAAAGCTCAAATCTGTGGTTTATTTATAGATTTATGATAATTTGACTGAGATCCATTCCAAGCAATCACCGGGTGCTCGGCGCTCAAGTACCCCGCCTGGAACAGCCTTTCCTCGGCTAGTCGTTCTGATGTTTGCCGCTGACTCTGACGTCTCTGTAGTGGTTAAATATGAGATATAATTCGTCTTGTATAGACCTAACAGGCGATCTTTGGTCTCGTGAATCTATAATTCGTTCCCTGGCCAATAGTTTTGGCAGAAGGCTAAGTGAAGTTTCATATATTTGAGCGCTGAATTTGTATATTTGACTGAATTGTTTGCTTTATTACAAGACCATCTGTAATGTTGTTTATTGCAACATTTGTACCAATGCACATATTGCCTGGAATATGTTTAATATTTTTAAATCAACGAAAAGAGGCAGGGTTGTGTTTTATATTTAGTTTTGCTATAAATATAGGCTACATACATGCAGTGAATAAAATCAATAGCCTATGCCAGGTGTAGGCAAGTTTGGTCCTAGAGAGCCGCTATCCTGCAGAGTTTGGCTCCAACACTGAAAAAAACCTCTCCTGCCTATAGCTTTAGTAATCCTGAAGACATTGATTAGCTTGTTCAGGTGTGTTTGATTAGGGTTGGAACTAAATTCTGCAGGACAGCGGCTCTCTAGGACCGAACTTGCCTACCCCTGGCCTATGCGTTGCCTGAACCACATTTGTGTGCTTATAATGTTTAAAATGTATTTAATGAAATCGAAAAGAAGCAGGGTGGTGTTTTATAACATATTTCGTTTTATTGTTGCCTAAAATGTACATACAGAGATAACCGGAGTAGCAGAGCGAGCTGAGTGGCGCTTTCAAGAACGCGCTGTTCCATTAGCAGAATTACTGGACTCGCGTCCTCGGGAGTCATTCTCTTTGAGTCGGACTTTGCGTAAGCTACTTGGTATTGAGAAACGCCTAATGCCGGCGCTTGTTTCTTGTGACAAACATGCCGAGAAGCAAGAACAAGATCTGCAGTATGTCATCCATTGTTGTATACTATGTCGCTTTCTTATTCGCGCGAAAATGACGTCGATCGCTTCTTTCCGGCAAACACCACGCCTACCAAGTAAGGGTACTGTTGGCGGTGGAAACGCTAGCCGGATCATGGTTTACCGACCCGAACCGTACTGTACTGTACCGTACCATACCGCTCAGTGGAAACGAGCCATAAGGGGCCTAAAACCGTACCATACCGCTCAGTGGAAACGAGCCATAAGGGGCCTAAAACCGTACCATACCGCTCAGTGGAAACGAGCCATAAGGGGCCTAAAGTGTGCCAAGAAAACATCCCCCACACCATTACACCACCACAACCAGCCTGCACAGTGGTAACAAGGCATGATGGATCCATGTTCTCATTCTGTTTACGCCAAATTCTGACTCTACCATCTGAATGTCTCAACAGAAATCGAGACTCATCAGACCAGGCAACATTTTTCCAGTCTTCAACTGTCCAATTTTGGTGAGCTCTTGCAAATTGTAGCCTCTTTTTCCTATTTGTAGTGGAGATGAGTGGTACCCGGTGGGGTCTTCTGCTGTTGTAGCCCATCCGCCTCAAGGTTGAGCGTGTTGTGGCTTCACAAATGCTTTGCTGCATACCTCGGTTGTAACGAGTGGTTATTTCAGTCAAAGTTGCTCTTCTATCAGCTTGAATCAGTCGGCCCATTCTCCTCTGACCTCTAGCATCAACAAGGCATTTTCGCCCACAGGACTGCCGCATACTGGATGTTTTTCCCTTTTCACACCATTCTTTGTAAACCCTAGAAATGGTTGTGCGTGAAAATCCCAGTAACTGAGCAGATTGTGAAATACTCAGACCGGCCCGTCTGGCACCAACAACCATGCCACGCTCAAAATTGCTTAAATCACCTTTCTTTCCCATTCGGACATTCAGTTTGGAATTCAGGAGATTGTCTTGACCAGGACCACACCCCTAAATGCATTGAAGCAACTGCCATGTGATTGGTTGATTAGATAATTGCATTAATGAGAAATTCAACAGGTGTTCCTAATAATCCTTTAGGTGAGTGTATAATAACAAGACATTTCCAAGCAATAGCCTAATGACATCATATCCGGGAGATAAGTCAGTAAATTTGAGTAAAATCACAGGCTTCGTTTATCCCGTGCAAATGCGCTACACGAAATTCAGATGTGGGTGGGTAATTTCAAATTCAAACGAGGTCCCCAGATAATACTAATCCCGTGCGAATAGGGCTTTTGACATAGCTGCTAGGCTAATCCAGGCCTCGTCCTTTTTTTTTTGCGACTGCAGGAATGTTTGTGTATTAGAAAGAGCAACGCTCAATGTAATGAAATGAATGGTCCTCTTCAGGACAGTAATCCAGGGAATTAGGAAAGAGAATGGGATAACAAATCCAACAGACAGAATTCCTTCTATGTCTAGAGAAGTAGGCCAAAGAGCAGTGTTGTGCCTGAACGCGTTCAAAGAACGATAGTTCATGAACTCGTTCATATTTTGGGCGAACGTGAACTGAACGTACTGTATTACAGCCTGATGAACGATACTGTGAACGCGTTCATTCTGGTGTCTGTGAACGCACGCTCTCTCAGTTTAACTTCTTTCAATAGGGTGCCAGATTTCTATTGAGCCTTCCAGGCGAAAACCCGGCTAAAACACGTAACAGGCCTTGATATGTAGCGGAAAAAAACACCCAATCTGGCAACACCAGCCACCAGCGTCGCACCGCCGCGTGCGTCATCAAAACAAAAAGCAGCATGTAGTCGACAAAGCAGCGAGCGAGGAGGCGTCGTATGATCATTTAAACGAGTTTTATGACAAGGTCGGTGAGGATGGGAAAAATCTTACATTTCTGTGCAAACTTTGCCCGTCGATAAAATAATTGCTGTCTGTGGTTGTATATGGGCTGTGGCAATAATAATAATAAAAAAAGGTCGCAGCAACATATGGAAAAAAAGAACTATGAACTAGTTCATTTTTTGAAGTATGAACTATGAACTGAACTAGTTCATTTTAAAATTTGTGAACTGAACTTTAAACTAGGCCTAGTTCATGTAGAAAATGAACTTTCCCAACACTGCCAAAGAGCTATCCTACTTTCTCCTGGGACCTCAAATTGGACCTAGAGCAAGACTCAGCATTTAGCCCACAGGACTACTGGCTAGTTCATTTGTAAGGAACATATCTAGCACACAAAATAAATAATATGTTAACAACAATTAACAGATAGAAACTTCTATGAATGCAAATAAATTGGTGTCAGAAATTATTGAAAGTGCACGCAATATCAACAACGTCCATCCCAGTGTTAAAGGACCATCTGTCCAACATTACAGCAATCTGGATGTGGTTAGGAATGTTTGTCAGGGGACAAAACTGCTAAAAAATTGCCAGGAAATACTATTCGGTTGCAAAAATTCAGTTAGAAGTGTAACTTGGAAACAATCTAGTACACAAGTTAAAATCTCTGCAGTTTCCATGAATTTGTCCATCATTGTGTGTCCTGAGGGCTGGATCTCTCTGGGCAGGCTCAACTGACCGCTGAAACAGGCGAACAATGGGAGAGGAAAACGGTTTCCTCACGCTGCTTTTGTTTGCCAGGTGCTCGTGGCGTCTGTTTCTCAACACAAAAGCATATTCAATTTAAATCAGTTCCTTTTATTGTCATTCCACAAGTTGGAGCTGATGTCTGACCCCTCTGTCTTCTGGACCTACATCATGAGAGACACATCTGTCACAGCAGCAGTTAAGACAAATGTCAGTGAAAAATAAATTGAATATAGCCAATAGCTGGAGCTTAATCACAGGCTAGTTGTAGGCAGCAAAATCCACAAAGGCAAAACAATTTCTTTTTCATGCACTGGTCAATTGAGGTTTTGGGCTACCATGTTTTCCTTCAGACTAGAGGAAAGAAAACTCACAAAATACACATTTAAGTGTTTAATTTATTGCAGTATCTATTTGTGTCTGTAGATTTCAGATATCTTTTAAAGGCCAAGTATTATCCTCATGCACTGCACCATCTCTACTTCAGTAACTTTGTTACTTTCTCTAAGTTTTTATGGAGTGACAAAAAGAGTTCCAAAATCCTATCTGTAGAAACCTTTAACTCCATGTAAACAAAATGAAACAAATTTTAAATCTGGCTTTATAATTCATTATGTGCATATTTACGTTGCACAAAATGTAATACAAACAATTGTCTTAATGTACTGTGATCAATCAACAGGGGTATTTTTTAACCTATTAATTAAGCTAATTAATGGGGTTAAGCTAGACATTATAGCTTACGGTTTACGTGTCTTACAACAACATAGTCTTCAGAAAGCACGTTATCGCTTCAACGAGTGGATACTCAGTTTATGTGCAGATCATTTAGGAGACATTTAGATCTGACCCATCTGTTACCTTCACCACTAACAAGATCATCTGATGTGTTTGAGCTACCGGGAGAAGGTAACGGACCAGGTGGTAGCCGACTACAAACGTGAAAACACGATCCGGTCTGTTTAAAATATAGGATAAACAAGTAAACGTGTCAGTAAGAGACAGTAGTTTCGATAGGTTAACATTGGCACAACGCAGCGGATTTAAAACGAGCTCACTAGCATAACATTAGCTCAGTTCCGCTGGATATCTGCCCGCGGCGGACACCAGTCAAAACAACTCGTTATAAAACAGTCAGAACAACACCTCTTACCTTGATTACAAAAGAAGCTCCATAGTTTGGCGAAAATTAGACCCATTTTTCCTGGTGTGTGAGAGAGCGTGTCCAGTGAGTGGGAGTTTAGCGAGAGGCCTACAGCAGCTGTCCGTGAAGCCGTTATTTCTTCATAAACTCGCTCGCGCCATGCAGATACGATAAGTCAGCAGCACATGCCTACTTCTGTCCGTGTGTGTATGTCCACGGTGTGTTCACACAGGCGAGCAGCTCCCGTGCACTTTCTTCTTTATTTGTGATCAGATCAAGTGTGCGACAGATGCGAGCGCGGCGGATACACCACTGTCCAAACACAAGCCTCTTCACTTCCCAGGTCGCTCTGACCTCATCCACATTTTCCTCATGGACAAAAAAAAACGCACATCAGCTCCTCCCGTTGTCAAGCTATACACCGGTAGGTGCACAGGAAGAACTCAAGGAAGTGAAACCACGCATATGTGCATGTTCTGGGTAAATAACAAGCTCTCACTCTCTTTTGCTGTGATGTATGTACTATGTACACACAAAACACACACCATCCCCCATCAGTGTTACACGTGTGAGGATCATGACGTGCACTCATCCAACCCACAAGTGTTTTCTTCTTCTTCTTCTTCTTCTTCTTCTTCCTCTTCTTCTTCTTTGGTGAACCCACAAGTGTCACATCCATACAATGTGTTTTATATTTAATTATAATCCCCGTTGAACATTGAATCTACTGTATACCAGAACACGGTTGCAAACACAATTTTAATTTTCTTTTTAAATTGACATGGACAAATCCTAAGCAGATAGATGAGCAGGCACGTAGACATGTTGTTAGTATGTAGACAGGCTGTCAGATAGATAGATAGATAGATTCATAGATGGCGGATTGATTGATTGAATGTTTTACTCACCTGAATCAAAACTAGGGTATGACCAAAAACCACAGCACTCAACCACCAACACTGCATTGATTTTGACCACTGAGAGGAAACTGAGCCCTCCTGAAGTTCCCTCCTGTCTGCAGCAGAGCTTATTTACACTATAGTGTGAAATATCTAAGAAAAACTGAAATGGAGCCTGTATGCAAGTATCATGTCTGCTAAGAATCTACTGTGATAAGAAATGATTTGCCATTTTACTGAACACTGTCATATGGTTGTTTCAGATTACCAAATGGTATCTCATAATGGTATCTCACACTTCAAGGAACATGACTTCAGTTCAAATTGAACTTTAATGCTACATTAAGCTAATAACCACATATAAATTAAACAGTGTGACAATTGGTAAAGGTGTTTACAATGTTGCACTAAGAAAACTAGCAGGTGCTCTGGATGGTTTGAAGACAGAAATGTGAGAACTCTTAGATTTTAAATAAAAAAACAAACATATTTTTTTTTCATTTAAAGGCACACTTTGTAATTTTTCGCCACTAGAGGTCGTTTATTCAAAACAAAGGCGAAGCTTGATGACGCCTTGCTTTCGCGGAATCATGAGTTGTTGTCTTCACCTCTACAGCCGGTGGAGAATTCAACAGGACTCGGGCAGAAATCATATGGATGTAATGTAAGATTTTTTAACGTAACGAAAGCCATTGGAGCGGAACGAGGCCGCTGGAGCGATTGCTAATGAGAGACAAGCATGACACACAGCTCGAGCCAGAGCTTTCCCTATCCTATTTTTTTCCCCCTCGTTCTAAAAAAGAAATTCCGTAAACACAGCGTCGTCTCAAGAAATATTTGCGTACACACGAAATCACTGAAACTGACTCAAAACGATGTAGTATACATGCCAGACCAGTATGTGGCACTGTAATTCTGCCACATAGACATACTAAAAACGGAGAAGAAGGGTGCTTATTTGTGCATCCCATAGACAGTGGGTGCTTCTCAATATCCCTCCTCGTCTCCTCGCTCCCATAGACAGTATAAGAAATGGACAGAGCCATCTCATTGGAACTCAGTTGAGACAGTTGAAGCCCATTTTTAGCGATTTCTGAGCACTTCCGTTCCTGACGCGCAGACTCAAACCGACTCAAACTAAGCTTGATGACGTGAGCAACCTGTCTGACAGACGTTAATCTTCTAGTAGCTGTGCGTGAAAATCGCCAACGTTAATCTTGCAGAGACGGGGAACTTGAGCAAAGAGTTCTTTGGCGTGAGTGAGCGGGAGTAAGTATTCCGTTGCTTTTATGGACTCATTATCTATGGGCTTCTCCCTTGACGGGACGTCCCCCCGATTGCCTGCGAGCTTTTCCTCCTGTCTGTACGGTAATTTCTGTACAGCGCGACAGAGAGTCGAGTGGTTATGACGCAATCGTTAGCCTATTTTTACTAAAACTGTTTCTACGGGGCCATAATGTAACATAGAAGGTAATGGAGCCCTTTATACATTGTCGTGTTTCTTTAGAAATAAATAATGGACAAATGGAGTCTTTAAACGCCTCAGATGTAAAGTTATTCGCTGTCAAATTGACGGCAAAATGAATGGGAGTCAATGGAAATGCTAACGCAAGTGAAGTTCTGCTACAACATGGCGGCACCCGGCCGGCTTCAACTTCCGGTCGATGGATTACCCCCTTGCTCGCTCCTCCGTCCTCCATCCTATGACCCGGAAACCGATCGAGCTCAGCCATCTTGAAGGACATCTCAATTCTCTAATTGCACCGCGAGGATCGAGGAGTGAGGAGGCTTCCAGAGGAGCTATGAGCGAGGATACACAGGTGTACCCTTTGCGGAAGTGTTTTATCGACTAAACATGACGCACGTATCAATTCTCCTCCCCCTTCACATCTGTCACAATCATTTGAATTTATACTTTACTTTTGTAGTTTACATAAACCACACAACTCACATATTTCAACAAGGTATCTTGCTTTATTATTATTTATTATTAATTTCTTAAATAAACAAACTTTAACAACATAAGGGCAGATCCTTTGAGCACTGCTGATGACGCAGTGAAGTGACGCTCGAGTGATCAAGTATTCCAATGTATAAAAAAGCTTTCATTCAATTCCTCCGTCCTCATTTTTTTTCCTTGCAGCCTTCCCTCGCTCCTACAGGGGGTAGAGCTGAGACGCGAGGAAAGGAAGCGAGGAAAGGAAACGAGGATGCACAAATAAGAAATGAGAAGCACCCAGTAAGTCAAGTCAAGTCACCTTTATTTATATAGCGCTTTTTACAACACAGATTGTATCAAAGCGCTTCACAGTGATAACATGAAAACAATATAACAAAGTTTGTTTCTAAAAGAAAATTGCGTCAACGTCCACCTTAAGTAAGGCAGATCAATAATATTATTGAATATTAAATGTCCCCAACTAAGCAAGCCAAAAGCCAAGGCAACAGTGGCAAGGAACCAAAACTCCATCAGGTGACAGAATGGAGAAAAAAACCTTGGGAGAAACCAGACTCAGTCGGGGGGCCAGTTCTCCTCTGGCCAACGAAGGAACAGTGCATGATTCGGGCAGCATTACAAGTCAGATTGGAATCGGAACATTTAGAGTATTTATCCATTTCCATCTTTTGGAAGTCCAAGTAATCACGCCGGTATTAAGACGAGTTGTTGAGGATCAGTGCCGTCCACCATAGAGAGTCCATATCGCCGGCGTTGAGTCGTCTCTTCACAGGCTTTGTGATTGGGGCATCTGAAGTCTCCGTGAGAGGCTGGATACAAACTGGAGCGGACGAACGCCATTTTCTCGGGACTCGCGTCCCGAGATAACAGCAGAAAAGCAAAAAGGGAAAATAATTAGCGTAGCTGCTGTTCATAATGATGATTTCCATAACACAGGCGTAAATGATAAAACATGAAGACAGTGACTCTTGCGTCCCAAAATCACCCCCCTCCGTCCCCCACTCAACTCAGCCCAGCTTACTGACCTCTACGTCCCTCCTGCTGCTGAGACCTAACCACAATCTCACAATCTCTCCGCAACCCAACCATACGCGCCAACCCGTTGACTAAGGCTGTCGAGCCCCACTGGTGCGTTAATATGCAGTTTCAGTGGACAACGGTTCCGTATGGCATACCACCTACCGCAAAAACACAATATCTGCCCAACCACCCGTCATTCACGCAATACACAGGAACGTAATGACTGTAAATACTATGCAACCTATACAAATAACCTACAGTCTCTTTAAGTTTTATAGTATTAAATGCATTTGATCTGATTCAGCAGTTGTATAAAAGGTAAGCATTATGTAAATGCTTGGCTAAAGAGATGCGTCTTTAATCTAGTTTTAAACTGGGAGAGCGAGTCAGAGCCTCGAACAATATCAGGAAGGCTATTCCAGAGTTTTGGAGCTAAATGTGAGAACGCCCTCCCTCCTTTAGTGGACTTAGATATCCTAGGAATGACCAGAAGCCTCGAATTTAGTGATCTTAAAGAACGCGATGGATTGTAGGGCGATAGAAGGTCCAGTAAATACACAGGTGCTAGACCATTTAGGGCTTTATAGGCCAGTAGTAATACTTTGTAATTGATAGGAACTTAATAGGTAACCAGTGCAGAGATGATAAAATCGGTGTTATATGATCATATTTTCTTGACCTAGTAAGAACTCTAGCGGCTGCATTTTGCACTAACTGTAGCTTGTTTATTGAGGATGCAGGACAACCAGCTAATAAAGCATTACAGTAATCTAGTCTCGAGGTCATGAATGCATGGACTAACTTTTCTGCATCAGAAACTGATAGCATATTACGTAATTTAGCAATGTTTCTAAGGTGGAAAAAGGCTGTTCTTGTAACATATGAAATATGATTTTCGAAAGACAAGTTGCGGTCTAGTATAACTCCCAGGTCTTTTACCGTAGAGGATAAAGTAACAGGACATCCTTCTATATTAAGGTTGTATTGTAAGTGGTTTTGTGGGTAGTTTTTTGGACCAACAAGTAATACCTCCGTTTTATCTGGATTTAGGAGCAGGAAATTACGCGTCATCCAGCATTTTATATCTTTAAGACACTCTGTCAATTTTGATGAGTTAGTGTTTTCATCTGGCTGTGATGAAATATATAATTGAGTGTCATCAGCATAACAGTGGAAATGAATTCCATGTTTTCTTATAATATTACCAAGTGGCAGCATATATATTGAGAATAGCAGAGGGCCTAACACCGATCCTTGCGGCACTCCATAGTCTACTGACGTTATCTTCGATTTTTCCCCATTTAAACAGACAAAATGGTAACGGTCCGATGAGTACGATCTGAACCAGCTTAATGCCTGTCCCTGAACACTAGGGGTGGAACGGTACATGTATTCGTATTGAACCGAAACGGTACGGGCGTCACGGTTCGGTGCGCGAATTTGCACGCAGAATACACGGTACAAATTAATTTAAAAAAAATAAAACTCTTAAATAGCGATACATTTCGCTCTATTCGCTTTTGGTGTGACTGAACGCAGCAAT